TGTCGGTGGTGGGTTCTTTTCAAGTGGCAGCAGCTGCTGCGCAAAAACCAATAGAATTGAAAACTAATATTTCGCCAAGCGATGTAAATTGTGCGAGATGAGTTTGTAAAGTTTTCGGTAGTTGCAGTTGCCGCTGCCGACATCGCGGCGTTGCGTCCGCTTAACAGAGCGTGAAAAGCAAATTTGTGACGTTTCAATAATTCAGGCATTAACCCATGGCCCACTGGCTGTGGCTGCTGTTAGCTTTTGAAAGGCATTATATTGCATACACTCAACATTCACACAGCAACTCACACACTTGCACATTCAAATGCAAATACACAATATGAGCAATTACTCATTTCGGACGCGCTCACACACTTAATATTCGGAATTTGCCGTTTTATTTTTATTTTTGATCGACGAAAATGCCTAAGCAAATATGGTGTCAAAAGAGAGCGCGCGTGAGAGATTGAGAGAGGTAGGGACACACACACACACACACACAACAAACAAGCATATATATATACACACACACATGGCCTATGCAAATAAATAAAACAAAAACACATAAAAAATATTTCGTAATTATTTATCAAAAAATTAACATCGACGGCCACAGCAGCCGCAACTATCAACTCGACCGGCCACGACACAGCAACAAAATCAACAACAACGACAAGAACGACAATAACAATAATAAAACTGAGAGAGCAAGAACAACAAATACAAGTCGTATTGTCGTAAGCACAGCAACTCGGCCCAATCGATTTGCCAGCTATTCATTTTATTATACACACACACACACACACATACATATGCATGTGTATGAGTGTGTACATAATTTATTAAAAAGTTTTAACACCAACGCAAGTGATCAGCGCAATTTTAGTTATAAATACAAGCACTTGGCCGCATTGGTGCCTGCGAGATGCAAAATTTGGTAGACAACGAGAGTATGAGAGCGAGATAGCACGAGCATTTGATTTTAAATGAGAGCTTTTAACAAAAACAATTAACTGTAGGTACTCACTAGACACATCAAACTGTTATTTATTGATGCTGTTTTATTGCTTTGTTTGTTGCTCCTAACTGCCGCGCGCTCTCCCTGTCTAACTCTCTTGCTCTCTCGCGCGCTCACACACACATGCTCTCAGCTTTTGTGTGCATGTGTGTGTGGTGTTTTCTAACTTGCTTTCTATAGTATTTAATAATGCGAGTATATTTGTAAATAACTAAACGACGTAGATACAAAAATATTGTATTTAGATACAAATAACTGTATAATTTGTAGAGTTTTGTTATTGGGCGTCGCGTCGTGCCTTCGGTTCAATGTAAACTAGCTACAACTACACATGACAATTATCTAGCTAAGTATATATATGTATGTATGTAAATGAGTTGTTAGTTTAAGTGTCAAAATGCATTTGTTAGAAACGATACGATTTGATGACTACATTAAGTGAAAAAATAAATAAAAATTAAATATGAAACAAAAAAATAAACAAAACTCGAGCGTCTGACTCATCGACCAAAACAAATCCGCCGACAACGCCTGGATGTAGCATTATTTTGTATTTACCTTATTTTTCTTCTTCCCACAATGATATTACGACGTATCCAACTTTTTATGTCTGTGTCAAAACATAATTCACCTTGCAGAAATACACAAACGCTCAAACAATACTTAACATTCAGCAATACAACATTTAGCGCACACGACTTGTTCGATATTCGGTATTTTTCGTTTTTATTTTCGTTCACTTATTTGTTGGTTTTTGCTTTGCTCTCGCATTCGCCTGGTTGGCGCGCTGCTCTCGCTCTCTCTCACTGACACGAGCACACAAAACAGCGCAACACACTCACGCATACAATTACACATTCAACTCTACTCACGCTCTTTCTTTCTCTCTCGCGCCCGCGCGTTATTTATACATATTTACAGCTGCGTGTGTGTGCGTGAGAATGTCTGTATGTATTTTACGACTATGAAAAAAGCCTGCCTCTTCACAAATCAGGTTTGCAGCCTTCTTATTTCACATTTTTGAGCATTTTCTAAAGAAAATTAGATTACAATTCACTTTATAAAGCACTTATAAAAACTTTTTTCAATAAATTATCAATTTATTGCGACATTTCGACCGTTTTTAACGAAATTTCTCGAGCAGCTTCTGAACGCTGGCTGTTGCCAGATATCATCGCGTATCGATATTAAAATTTCCACCCTGCACAGCTAAAATACTATCGGTATTACGACTACTTTAATCGGAACATTATCGAATTTACGTGAAGAAATTAATGTCTATAAGTTGTTTTTATAATGTAAAACTAGAATAACTAGAATATTTTTGTAAAGTAAATGTAAACATTTTTATTACGACTAAGTGCTAGCTAAATTGATGCTAAACTCATATAGTAATGTTATAAAGCAGTCGCAATGTAAACACTAGCGGCACCTGGTGGGCTTATAAGGAAACATTTGAATCGGTTAAATTTTGAATTGGCGGCAATTTAAATAGAATGATTTATTTAACATATTTTTTAGCTCTAATGGTAATGTTACTTAAAGTCCCAATGTATGCATTAGCGACACCTAGCGAAACCACAAGTACTGATATGAATCGGTTAAATTGGAAATTGGAGTCGATTCACATTAAAGCAATAAATTTTACGATTGATTTCATTTATGGTTCTCATCAAGCAATATAAGCTAACGATATTGATGGTAGCTCCCTGCTCCATAGGAGAATCTCTCTTCGGAACTGAGATAACTATCCTGCTGTGAGAGAATAATATTATAATCTCGAAGCTTTTTGCTCGCCAGATACTGAATTCGCTTCTTCGCCTCGGTCAAAGAGCTGCGGAATGCACCCAAACGTGATTCGAGAACAGCATTTAACGCAGTCGTCGCCTCGATTACGTTTTCATCCATCGGAAAACAGGCCAAGGCGTTCTGGAACATCGTCCTCAGCTTCTCGATGAAATGCTCAAAGTTTTCGATTTCGTCGTTGTCCAGCATGAAACGCAATGTTTCCCAGTCCAGCTTGTCCTCGACATCGTGGTTGTAGCGTATATTCTGACTGTACTGGCGCCACAAATCACCGGAGCGAAAGGGCCAGTTGATGTAGTCCCGCTTGCGCTTGGTCAGGCACTGGAGCATCCGCAACGAGTGGTTCTTCTCCACAAGATAGATCTGCCAATCGATCAGTATGTTCGGGGTCGAATCGAACTCAACGGGCTCCCCGTCAGGCTCATCGTCAACGTCAGACTCAGACTCGCTATCGTCCCCCTCCTGAGTCTGGCATGCACCATCGTCCAGCCTAGGTAACTTGCTTGGAACTGGGCACGCACGCTCCAGCTGCAGTGGCCTGACCTTGCGTCTCCGGAGCAACGATTTGGTACTCAGCTCCGTCTCGTTGCTCATGTCGATCATGGAGAGACACGTCCGGAAGATGGCGTACAGTTGCTTGCCGGCGGCGTGCACCCGTGTCCCCGGCATAAAAAACAAACTGGAGTTGGCGAAGATCAGCTCGAAGTCTTCCAGCGCCTCGTTCGCCCGCCAGTAGTAGTTGTTGTTCAAGCGCTGGCGTATGGTGCTCAGGTCCATGGGATTCTTGATCACAGTGTGGTAGTTCGGAATGCAGAGCTTAGTCGCATCCACCGGTTCTTTGAAGTAACTCGACCAGCGGCTCCTCCACAGAGACTCCAGTACCGACTTCAGGCTCTCCAGCACGTTGGTCAGCCGGCCGGGCCTCTCTGGCGGCGGTATCACCGGCGGCTGAACAACCCCATTCACCGGCAGAACGCGCGGCTCGATACGAGGCGGTATCTCCTCAGTGGATGGCTTAGCCTGCTTCGGCTTCATCTTGCCCTTGCCCAACTTATACATTCTCGAAAAATTCTTTACAATCCGATTCAGAACTCTCAGTGAAATCAAATGTCAAACCGAAGGCCAGCTCAGCGTTTGCATTTGCTTTGACAACTGGCATCAAATGCAAAGGTAACTAAGCTGGCAACATTTTTAATTTATTTTCGATTATTTTGATTGGAATTTGAATGCAAACGCTAACGAAAAAATGCAACTACATTTTCCACTATTAAAAATTAAATATTGTCTATTGTACACTGTTTGGTAAGTGATTTGATTTAATGAAAAACACAAACTAAATTTTCCACTATTTATTAATTTGAATATTATTTAATGTATATGCATTTTTATTATTAAATTTATTATTTTTATTCAAGCTCTAAGAAAATAATATTATATATATCATATCATATCTGTTGAATGATCAGAAAATATTAAATCAAAGTAAATGCCACAAATTATAATTAAAGTTATCTTAAGCTAAAGTCGAGTCTCGATAATTTGTTCCCTATTTCAAATATCTCAATAAATAGAACAAATTATATGCCCTTGAAAAATTTGTATTATCGATAATTGTCACTTCAGTGTAAATCGAAAAAAACTGATGACCTTGCCATTTCGAATTAACGAATCCCGACTATTATTATTTTGTTGTTATTTGTTCTCAATTTGTTTGAACATTATTTAAAAAATATATTTTTAAATATATATATTAGAAATCACAATAATAAATTTAAATGTATGAATAAAAAAAAAAAAATAAGACAATTAAAATTAATAATAAATATTAATAAAATCTCAATAACAAATATTAATTTATGATTTAAAAAATATAAGATAAATAAGATTAATAATTGATATTAGTAACTAAAATAAAATAAATGTAACAGCTGCAAAAAAAGTACAGTAATTCACAAAAAATATTTGAAAGTGATTTTCAAATACTTTTTGTATTTAATTTAACTTGAGATCACGTAAATAAATTTAACATCCACTTGACGGCAGGTTCTCCACACTTCAAGGCGAAACGAACTTAATTTTGAGTCCAATTCAGCTGGAGTGTCATCCATATTTCCAGACCTGCCGCTACGCAAATTAAGGGCGCTAATCGATTTGTTAGGGGTATTCCGCAGTGAAAAGCCTCGCTTCTTTGTATTATTCATTTCAGTTTTTGATTGGATTGCACAAGATGTTGACTCTCAAGCTAGTTTTAGTGGCGCTGCTGCTGCAGCTGCTGGCAGGAGCCACGTCATCTCACGACATGGTCCGGGTGCTGCAGGGCGAGGACGATCTGTTCGAGGATCTGAGACTCTATGTGGCAGCTCTGGAGCGCAAGGCGCGGACGACTCGCCTGTAAGTGAATCACTGAAGTTGATCTTAGCAAGCTCTATATACAATATAAATCTATATATTTCTCTAGAGTCTTAGAGGATGCCCTGGCCAGGCTGGAGGCGTCGCAGATTGATCCCACGGCCTATGTCGAGAGTCCGTTGGTCGCTTTTTCCATGGTGCGACGCATGCACATGGATGCGGGCAAGATATTGAACTACCTGAAGCAAGATGCGGGCGCAGGTAAACCAATTCGGCCAAAGCTTATTCGCCAGTTACACCAGGCTTTATACCTCCCACAGATCTACAACATATTGCGGACTATCGTCTGGACATCATCACTGAGGCAGATCTGGCGAAGGCTACGCAGGGCTTGCTCCGCCAACAACAGCTCCAGGGCCTGAGTGAGCGCGATGTGGCTCGGGGTCTACTAGGCCCGAAGCAATACAAGTGGGTCTCTAGTCTGTAGATCGCCAAGTAGACTCAGTTCGATATCTTCGTCTCTTATATCCATTGCAGCGCCAGCCTGAGCACGCCCGACTGTCTGACCCTGGCGCAACACCTGCTCAAGAAGGGGGAGGACGAGCAGGCCAAGAATTGGTTAGAGCTGGCACTGGAGCTCTATGAAAGGACGCCGGAGCGCGTCTATGAGCTGCTGAATATCGATAGTGAAACCATATTACGTGACATTGTCGACATTCATGCTTCCAGGGGTTAGTGCCATGAATAAACAATGAATCCAACTCGACTTCTGGTGGTTTTTGTGATTTCCTTGCAGAGAATTGGCTGGGCGTTCGGGCTGTTCTTCTACAGATGCTTGAGCTCGCTCAGGACAAGCAGCGCATCTTGAACTTGCTGCACTCTGTGGACTTTCATCTCACGAACTTTGAGATCTGTCGGGGTCAGAGGCAGCTGCCCGTAAGCGACTCGCTGCGCTGTCGCTATAGTGCAGAGGGCTCGCCCTTTCTCCGACTCGCTCCACTCAAGCTCGAGCAGCTGAGCATCGATCCATATGTGGCGCTCTGTCATAATGCCATCCATGACAATGAGCTGGAGTACATCATCGAGCAGAGCAGACCCTATCTGAAGCGTGCCCTTGTTGATCAAGGCGTCGTGCATGAGAAGCGGGTCACTATGGATGCGGCATTCGACCTAAATGCCTCCACCCACGGACGAACTCTGCGCCAGCGCCTGGAGGATATGTCCGGCTTCGATCTAAGCAACAGCGGTCAGCTGGCAGTGCTCAACTATGGCATCGGAGGTCACTACTCCATGCACTTTGATTGCTGGTTTAGCAGTGACAGCGTGAGTGCTAAGAATGGGTCTAAAATTCTATATGGTAGTAGAGTTATGCCTGGGTAGCTGACTGACTGATTGAGCGACGAAACTTGACTGAGCTCTAAGAATACGTTGTTAAACATTTAACTCCTGGTTCAGATGACTTCACTTTCCTATGGGGCAACTAACTGGATGATTGAGTCATAGATTTAATGGCTGATTGAACAAATCATAGAACTTCCAACTTCTTGACTGACTGATTGACACCCTGACTGGCTAACTAACTCAGTGAGTAATCCAGATATTTATTGACTGGTTGATTATCGACATGATTGACTGTCTCATATATTGAGTTACTAATTGATTGATTGACTGATTGATAGCTTGATCAATAGATTGACAGAACGAATGATTGCATATTAATGGACTCAGTGATTGAGTAATTGACTGACCTATGACTGACAGATTAAATGATTGATTGACAAACTCATTGGCAAATTACTTGACTGATACACTAATTGCTGATAGGCCGACTAATTGATTGATTGGCTGAGTAGTTGAGCTATTGACAAACTGATCAATATACATAGATTAAATTTAGTAATGGAGTAACTGATTGATCGACGCAGATTGAATAACCCTCTGACTGACAAATGATTTAGTGACTGATTGATTGACTAACTTAGTAGTTGACAGCTTTCAGACTGATCAGTATTGATTGACTGAATAATTGACTGACCAACTGATAAACCGAATATCTGAATGACTGATTGCTTACTCTGAAATTCTACCATAATTCCAATTTAACTGCAATTAGTTACAGTAGTTTAAGTTTACTTGCGATTACCCATTCTTTTATGCCTTTATGCTTTGCAAAGGGATTAACTTTCACTTTTTGTTGAGAGAAATCTTTGAAGTTTTTAATGCAAGTTTTAGCCAAGAAATCTGTTAGGCAAGCCCGACTTGTCGGAGCTCCAGTGCTGGGCACACTGACAGCCGCTGCTGAATGCCTCGGATTTATGTATGTAAATACTCTTTTTTGGCAGGCAGCCTATGAGGCTTACATCAGGAGTAATCGCATTGCTACCATTTTGCTGTACGTAAGTAGAGGACTTAAATAGCATATTGCGCGCCAGTTGCTTCCTCACTCTTTTTTATCTTATCCTCTTTTCGGCGTCCTGCTCATCCTTTGTAGCTGAACGAAGTGCAGATGGGCGGCATTACATCCTTTCCCGCTCTGGGTCTGGGCGTGCAGCCAATCAAGGGCTCGGCCCTGATCTGGCATAATATGAACCATGAGATTGAGTGCGACTACCGAACCCTGCACGCCGCCTGTCCCACTCTGCTGGGCAATCGCTGGGGTAAGCTAATTAATTGAATGCACTGTACGAGGGCCGTTCTAAGGCTAACCGACCTAGCAAACGCATGACATCTGGCAGAGCAAACTTTCATTGGCCAACTTGTTGTTCGATACAGTTTTCCCAGCCATTTCCAATAACTTCAATTTCCTGTTTATAATGAGAACTGTCTAGCTCAAAATAGATATTTGCGATAGATTTCAGTTCTTTACGGCTGAACTTTTTTTCGGAAAACCATTTTATTGAGTTAGTTTTTTAATACAAAACATATAGATAAAATAGATAAAATATAAAATATTTCAAGGGCTTTCAAAATGAACAAATATTTGATGGCGAATCTATTCATATATTAATGCTTGGCTTTTATACTCGCTCGCAAAGTAAAAAGAGTATATTGATTATTTGTATTGCTTGACATGCTCTGATTTCGTCTTATTGTTCGTCCGTCCGTTCGGTTGCTCTTCCGTCTTTTTGTCCATCCATCTTCTCGTCCGGATATCCGCCAGTCTGATTGAACGAAAATCATTTTACCGATATTGAAGCTGTAGAGTTTTGGGAATTTTTACCGTAACATTTTTAATGTGATTTTTGACTATATCCAGGGAATGATAAATATATGTATATGTATACGTTTATAAATCACAAATCTCAAATAGGAATGTGGGGCAGACGTAGCGGATCGAGAATAGCTAATGATATAACGGGAACGATATAATTATAGAATATATACCATATATATTATTTATCATATACTATGTAGGTGATTCATTATTAAATGATATAATACAGCCGAAAAAAAATTAAACTATATGTATATAGAGAAAGCCATTGCAGTTGAATTCCTCTATAGAGGGCTCTATAAATTATTTTAACATTCCGTCAACGCGCAGTATGCAATATCTCACGAAACTACCCTCGTCCCTAGGCTATTTCTCTCATACTCACCTCGACTACAACGAGTCGAGTCACCTTCGATAATCGTTGCAATGAAGGCTTTGACATGAATGCATTGAGTCCACGTGTCGTAGAGCTTAGGCTGGTCGGTTGCCTTTGGAAGTCTCTGTGTGTATCAATGTCCACCTATTTTTTGCTCACACATCCAGTTTATATGTATGTCTTCTTCTTTGTGCAGTGGCCACCCAGTGGGTCGACGTAGACGGTCAGTGGCGCAGAAAGCGCTGCACGCGCAGCTCCCCGAATTAAAGAGGGAAGAACGCATCTGGCTTAGTTTTGCGATAATTTATTCAATAATTTTCCATTAATTACATTTATGCACTATTTTATAGTATTCATGTGTCTTCATATGCAATGCGACATATTTGTTTACTTTATTTTTTTTTGGCATTATTTTCCATTTGCCATCTCTTTTTTTTTGGTTTTTCTTCTTCGTTTCGGTTATTTATGAGGGGAAAGGACTTTGAACAACAATTCTCGTGATACGTATTTAAATGATATTCGCGAGGTGGGGGAGCTTGGGGCCCACAGCGCTTTTGTAATATGTTTAGCAGTACGTTGCATATATGTATGTATATATATATATGTATGTATATAAAAATGTTAAAAAGAAATTGTAAAAATGAACCAAAACAAAGGGAACAAATTGAAAGCCCTAACAAAAACAACAAACAACACAGACACTGATAAGGAATTGTCGGGGTCGCGGGGCTTGAGCGGGAGCGTAAGCGAAACACTTTGCGGAGGGATGGGAGATATCGGCTCAAGGGCTGGGTAACACCTGTAGGAATACTTGATTGCCGGCTCTCGCTCAATTTTGATATCACGCGCTCCAAGCGCATAGCAGCAGCAGCAGCAGGGGCAGCGGCAGGGGCAGCATCAGCCACGCCGTCTGCTTGAAGACGGCGGCCACATTGCGAGCCTCGTCGTCCAGACCTGCCGGCGGAAATGAGAAATCGGAAATCGGCGTCAGTAATTGGCTTGAGAATTGTGGAGCGTACGATAAAAAGTGTGTGGAGCTTACCGCCAATGAAATTGAGGCTCTCATCGTTGCTGGCCGAGGCGCCCGGATGTAGCTTGATTTCTGAAACAATCGCAAGGTCAAAGGTTAGACAAATCGCATGGGAATGGGGCATGGGAATTGTGTGTGCCGATAACGCATACGCACCGTATAGCCGTAACGTGCCCTCGGCACGGCCCAGCGAGTTTGTGCTGACGCAGTGATAGGTGCCCACATCGGAGGCAGAGAAGGAACGCACCACCAGCAGCATGACGCCGCGATAGCCATCGCGCTTCTCCGTGATGCCATATTTGGGCCTGCATAGCAAATTCATGAGATTGTTTGACTTGTGCAGGGCTAAAAATATTGGCCCTCGGCTCAACCACTCACCCATCCAAGAGCATTTCGGGCCCGGGCGAGCCGGACTCCAGGCTGGACGTCGAGATGCTGGCGAACCCGTTCGAAGTGCGCGCGCCCTTCAGCCAGTAGGAGACGGGCGACGGGGATGCCTCCACCTGGCACTCGAGCTGCACATCGGAGCCGAGCGGCGTGCCCAGCAGCTGGCTGGGGGCACGCACCATGGGCGCAACTGGAATTGGGGAATGACAGACAGACGCAACAATGAATCCCACTGATCCCACTGACACTGGGGCAGATACCTACACTGTACGCTTAGGGAGACGCGCTTGCTAACCGCCGGCGGCACATCGTTGGAGGCGATGCAGAGGTAAGCGCCCATCTGACGGCGCTCCAGGCGAATCAACCTCAGCGAGGAGCCATTGTAGGTTTCCACTGTGAGTGAAGATTGTAATGGAGCTTAAGCTGTCGGGCTACATGACGTTGTGGCACTCACCTTTCATTAGCTCCCGGCTGCCCGGCTTACGTATTAGTATCATTTCGCCGTCCTCACGCCGCCAGATGACTCGCGGCTGCGGATTGCCCGTGGCCTTGCATGTGAGCGTTGCGTCCTCGCCCTCCTGCACGGCCAGATCGGCCGAGGACTCCTCGTTGCTAATGTCCGGTGGCACTGCGAGCAACCAACATGACATTACATATATATTCAAATATTTACTTCAATTGAGCAACTCTCAAATACCTTGCACATCGATGCAGCCCACCTGCTTCTTCATAGGACTCGTGTTGATTTGGCACATGTAGCAGCCACGGTCGGACTCCCTCAGCTTACTGATCTTCAATTTCCAGCTAATTGGCCATAACAATATGGGAATATAACAAAGAAACATATGAGAATATGTATTATAATTAATATAATATATTGTATATATAAATATTAAATGGTAAGTCAATAAATCGTTTGTATAGATCAACATTGATCTTTCAATATTATAATTAATCTTTATTCTACGAGAAGGGTTTAGGCAAAGTCAAATATGAAAGAGCTTCATTGACTTGAAAGTACTAGGAAAATTATTCAAAATGGATAAAGCTCAAGCACATGGGAGGTTTCTAATTTAGCTCAGGATTCCAGAGTTGGACTATCTACCCCATTGACTAAATCTTTCGCAGCCTCCATCTGTTTTCTCATCTATGAAACACCTAAGGTGACAGATGTTGACTTTTATATTATAAATTAGATATTCTTTTGAGTGTGAAAAGAAAACCCTTACTTATTTAAGGGTACAACTCATATATGGAGATATGAAAATTCTCCTTCTAGAAATAAAAGTTTAAATTACTCTCACACTTTCAGTTAAATTTTGCAAGAATATTGTTATTAAATTCTCAAGTTCTACCTATATAAATCAATATATAATAGTTCAAGTCTTTATATAGTTAACTTGTATATCGAAGTTCTTCAAAACTAAAAGTTTTTTAAGCGGCCCAAGTCTATTCAGTGGACAAGAACTGCACATCGACCAACTTTTCAACCTCTGCCCACACTTGGTAAGGTTCATTCTATCGCTTTATGGCGAAAAATTGCTGTAGCACTTAATTCTTGAATCTTGGTTTCCCTATAAAATAAAAAACGTATTTTAAAATAAAAGTAATTAAACAGCTTATAGAATTAATTCCATTTAAGGGTTTATGCTGCATCATCAATTGTAAAAAGTAGTTGCAATATTAATAATAATAATAATTATAATAATAATACAAATAATTTTAATAAGAGTATTAATATTGATATAATATTTTTTTTTTATTTATTTATTATTTATATTTTTTGAATGTATTAAAAAAAATAGATGTATACTAATATTAATAATAATGTTGCCTATAGGAATGGCCATTCGAAGACTTTCCACTCACTCAATAATAAACACTGAACTTAATTAATTTCTGAATTATTATTAAAATAGCTAAAATAAAATTTATTTTGTATGCCAATTAACCCACTTTAGATGTTTCACTTACGTGTGCATATCCTGATGCATGACACTGATCCGCGCATTGTGAGTTACGACGCGTCCTTGCAGGGCCAGGACCGTCTGATCGGAGGCACGCAGCCAGCCGACCTGAGGGGCGCAGCAGAAAGGCAGAAAATACGATCAATAGGAATTAGATGGTGTGCAACTTGAGTCAGCCAGGTGAATGGAATAGTTGACCTACTTTATTCTTGCCCAGATTGCGCACGGAGCAGGCCAGAACGGCCTCACGACCAGCCGGATACGTGACATTGTTGATGAAGCCAATAAACTCCGGATCGGGATCCAGCTGTGAGTTTAACTCTGTGCACAGCACGTGGCATTAAATTGAATTAGAATTTGATGTTGGGGCCAATGGGGGCAATTGAATGCTTGCCCCTGCTCGACGCTCTACTTACCATGATGCTGATTCTGTGGATTTCCATTGGCGCATTTGGCGGCCATTATCAAAATGACAAAGAGCAGGCCTAAATGGCTCTTCATTTTGTTATTGTTGTTGTTGTCCCTCCTGCTGTTGTTGTTATCGTCGTCGTTGTTGTTGTTGTTGCGGCTTGTTTTTGCGCTCTGCAGCTGACGTTTGTTATTTGCAGCAGCTGTTGCTCGATTCACTGTTGCCGTTGTTGCCGTTGTTGCCGTTGTTGCTGCTTTTGTTATTTTATGGGTATTTTTTGTAGCGAACGCCACAAATTCTATTTGCATTTGAATTTCTATTTCTATTGCTATTTGCCGCATGCGTTGTTTGTGCAAATTGCGCAAGGGGCTTTGATTTCACTGCATCTGCATCATTCCCAAGTGCTGTTGACATCTGCAAGCAAATAGGAAAAAATAGCAAAAACAATATAAAATGGCATCAGCATAAAACACCCAAAACAAAACATCAAAAATTTCTAACCAAAAATTTATTTCACCAAACAACAACAACTGCAATTGAGTTTAGTTTAAGTTCTGCAGCAGCAGCAGCAACACCAACAGCAACAGCAACAGCAAAGCTGCAACAGCAACAGCAAAGCTGCAACAATAGCAATCAAGTGCTGGGCTGCTTGGCTTCCTGTTTGTGGAGCTCAGTGGGCCGCGTTGGGGGCTGTGGCGCTGTTAACTTGATTATGTGCGGCGCACAGTTTAACAATGTTACGTTGGCTGCTTTTAGGCGCGGCCAATATGGCCCACAGTCCGGCACAGAGTCGTGGTCCGCTATCTTCTTTAGCCGCTGCTCAAAGTGAACGCAAATGCAATTTTCAACACAAACACAAATTTATGGCATGGCCATCGTGCCACGCCCATGGCACGCCCATCCACCCAGCAATAAAAGAAAAAGTGCGCTCTGACGACGAGCTGCAAAATAAAATATAACTGGAACAAAATAAGAGCACGAGTTGCGAGCGTTGCGAGCCAAAGCCAAAGCCAAAGGTGAAAAATATGAATGTAAATATTAAAAAAGTTTCAAGACGCAAAAACTAACGAGATGTACGCTCATTTGCCCAGCTTCCACCAGGGACCAGCCGGCACCACCAGGCACCACCAAGCACCACCAGGCACTACCAAACACCATCAGGCACCAGCATCCAGCGTGCTGCTGCACTTTGCTGCATCTGTAATTTAATTTCTGTGTGAAATTGAGCGCTGGGCTAATACTGAATTTGCAGTAAACCAGTTAGCAAGCCAGGCCGAAGCCAAAGTGCATTCAAGTCAAATACGGAACGGGGGGGTGGCTGCGGGGCGGGCCAAGTGCAAACTTTTGACGAGGTGTCAATGCCGATGCCACGGGGCTAAAATGCGCGAAATGCCGTCAGTGGATGCGATGCCAAGGAAGGCAACTTTCTAGCAACGGAAATGCGATTTGCTTATTGAATTACCTTTTGGCTGCACAGAGTTGCGACAGTGCAGCTGCCACGACCAGCAACAGCAGGAGTAGCACGAATAGCAGGAGTAGCACCAGCAACAGCAACAGTAACAGCAGAGCACACCGCGATTGATTAAATAATATTGTTCGCCTATTCGCATAATTGAATTTCTGAACAAAGCACTGGAGAGCTTTACGTTCAATACAAATAGCTTTGCTATGCGTCCTTTAAAGAGCTGACCACAAGCTGACGTCATTGCAAAAGGCCAGTTCAGACTAAAAAATTCGATTTATCGATATTTATCGATCGAATTTTGCATATACATAAGCGAGGTATTAAGAAGGCTCCAGGTCAGAGCTCTCCTTCAACTCTTTTGGCTTATTGATACACATTAGGATAACCAAATCATTGAATACCTTTGGTATTCCATTCAATATTCGAATCAATGTGTATTCAAAGGTCTGTGGAGTAAGCAGTTCCAGTGCGAAAAATTATTGCCGAACAAAAGTTGTATTTGATCTTTGAGTAAGTTCAAGGGCTCTAAACGGGAGTTCTTTGAGATTAAATATGTAAATGACGACAGATTAAGAATCGTTGATTGTGCTGAGGCATATAAAATAAGGAGAGTCTTACAATTTATTGTACTCGACCGATTGTAGCTTTTAAGTGCAACCGCTTTAATTTAGAATATTTGAAAAATAGAAAATTTTGAGCTTAGAGCACTTATTTCCAGTTCCTCGTTTTATTTGTTGTAGGATATTATTTAAATCCCTCAATTCCAGAGCTAACTCTCAATAACACTTGTTCATCATGGGGAATGATTAAAGCCAGTAACGCACTTTAGGGTAGAGGTGGGTACGGGCCGGGCTTTTATCGGGTACCCTTGGGCACCCGCGGTTACCCGTGGGTATGGGCGGGTGCGGGTTACGCCGCTCAACCCGTTTTACCCGAAGTTAGCAGAGCGCGTCCTTATAAATGCATGTGTGTGTATGTGTGCATAAAAGAAGTCCAGAATGATTAGAATATCAGCTAAGAGGGTTCAGGGTATCTCCTAGTCGAGCAGTCTCGACTGGAGCCTTCTTACTTGTTTTTATATAAAAACATGTAATATTTCTGTAAATAATATTGTAATTTTTAAGAATTAAATTGTTGTTATGTTTGAGAACAAAAAATTTGTTGTAATTTTTGAGAATTAAATTTTTTGTCAGTGTTTCGGGCGGGTTGGGTGCGGGTATGAAATTTTTTTTTGCTTTCGGGTACGGATAAAATTTTGAACTTTTGACCGTGGGAGGATCGCGCAGGGTGCAAAAAAGTCGGCCCGTGCCCACCTCTACTTTGGGGTATCGGGGTTTGAAATACCCCAAGTTTTTTGAAGTCGCAAATCTATTGAATTAATAATAATTAATATTAATTTATTTCTGTAATCTAGCATATTGGCAATTGAATAGGAATCACCCCCATTATCGACAAACTCGCTACGCCTCTGCATATAACGTAAAAATATGAGTTCTTGCTGCAGTTCAATCAAACCCTACCTTAAAATAAAATTGTGAATTTATTGTATTAGCATGCACTCGATAGCTCTTGAACTCTCTCTATCTAATCTGCAATATCTGATTTCATGTTTTGCAAATGTAAATTCACCTGACTCTTTGCAATGTATGGCAATATATGTATGTGTATATAAGCCAATTGCCCTTTGCAATTGAGTTGATTTTCTTTTAAAAGCTTACAGATAAAAAATATGCTCCAGCTACTTCGATAAATATATAGTTTATATGTATACGTGTAAATATTTATAGTTAATTCTGGGAAGGCTTCGCATTGCTGTCTATAGAGCAGTTAAGTGGATAAGCATATAACTACTTTTGAGCAATAAAGCAAAACAAAATGTTGCCGGCAGCTCATCCACAAAGTTTTGTGTGTGTGTATGTGTGTGTGTGTGTGTGAACATTTAATTTTTAATTGTGGCACATAGTCCGGGGCAATGCAATTTATGAGCGAGCTAAATTGTTGTGAAAATGCCAGCGGAATTCAAACTTGAAGTGAAATTTCAACTCATCAACTTGAACAATTGTGTTTGCTTCTATAGCTATTTGGGCGCTTTTTGTCGCTGTCAGGAAAAACAAATTTGCATCCGCACTCAAGAAAGGGAATATTTAAGAATGGGCTCCGAAAAATGTGCCACAGCGCGAACATAAATAAATTTGCCGTGTAAACAGAAAATATGGCAAAAAAAAAAAAAAAAAAAGGAGGAAAGGCTAAAAGGAAAAAGTGCGGCAAACAAATGAAAAGTAGAAAGTAGAAACTGCAAATCAGCGCAGTTGCAGCTGCAAGGTATGCCAACAGCTGCCCCAGAGAAAGACACAGGCATACAGAATAAGAGTGAGAGAGAGTGAGAGAGTGAGTGAGAGCGAGATGGAGCTGCAGTGTGGGTGAGACAGCATCTGAGTGAGCAAGCGTTGTAGCAAAGTGGCAGCTGAGCCGGCGGTAACAAAAAGAGCAAAGGCGAGCTAACACAGCGCCAAAACCTTTTGAAGTTGCACAGCTGGCAACAACAACAACAGCAAACTGGGCAACAACAGCAACAACAACAAAGAAGGCGTACAGGATGGCGAGAGCATGCACTTGAGCGACAAGCGTCAGCAGGAGCTTGCTCGCTGACAGCTGAGCCAGGTCCTACGGCCAGCGAATGGAAAATGTCTTAAATGCCTATGCCGTATGGTTGATGGCGGCCCGAGGAGGGCGGATCAGATGCGTTGCTAAAGGCTAACGGTAAACTGTAAATGACCGACGCTGCTAAGCGGCAAAGTGATTTGACTTAAAAGTGCTGAGCACTTGCTCGGACGCCAGTGGCTAACAGGCAGGCAGTCAGGCAGGCAGGCAGCGTGGGCGCGTCAGCCTCGCGGAGCTGCTGTCACAGCGACAACAGCAATGCCAGCAAATAAGCAGCGGACCGGGCCTTAAAGGATCAAGCTTAAGCTCATTTATTTAAATTAAAACAAACACTGCGGGGCTAAAAAGCCAAAGTCAAGTTGCGAAACGGGCTGCTGGGCGGGATCTCGCACAAATCCACAAAGTCACGACTGAGTGCATCCAACTACACACATTGTGCGCTCGACTCCACAGCTGCGTGAGTGTGTGTGTGCGTGTGTGAGTTTTACATATGCCTGCAAGGCGCGGCTCTCTCCCTCTCTCTCTCTCTCTCTCTCTCTCTCTCTCTGTGTGTGTGTGTGTGTGACTGCTGTAGAACTTTGGTAACATTTCCGATTGCTAACGCTGGCTTTAGTCGCAGCTCTGGCATTGTCCTTTGTCTTTTGGCCGTCAGCCGCCCAGCCCGACCAGACCGTCCGCCCGCCTGACTGTCATTTGTCCACTACACAAACAGGGCAAATTGTTTGCAATAATGCGCGTGGCAAGTGGGCGGCATGCTCCGCCCATTAGCCAACGCCCCCACATTCGCCTCCAGCCGCGCCCATTAACACATGCGCCGGCATTGATATGACAACGAATGCTCGCTGCAGGTAGCCCACCTGGCATTCCCCCAACAGTTGCGCTGGCCATTGGGGATAATGAATTTCGCTGGCAATGGCAACAACCGCAACAACACTAACAACTGGAGTAGCAGCAGCAACAACAACAACAGCAACAGTGACAACAACAGCACTGACAAGTGCGATAAATAACGATGCAAAGTTTAAGCAGAAAATCACAAAATGAAAATGTTAATTGTTTGGCTCACTTTTCTTATTGCTTTGATTACGCCTCATACCCTGGGAAATGCCATAAAAGGGGTGTATGCACTATGAGAACAAAGTTGAATTTGAATCTGCATATGAATGTAAAATTAAACAATAATAAATATGTATATACGTATATATATGTATATAAATATAAATTCTCAATATATAAATTATTTTCTATTTTATATTTTTTTACTATTATTTATGTTTTATTATTATTA